TCTACGACATTCATACCGGCTTCTCTCCTCCAGCTTCCATATTCAATCAATTTTACGCTTTTCACAGTACGACCAATCGCATGGCGTGTACTTCATCAACTGCTACGCCCAACCATCACTTAAGCTCGCCATTGGTCAAAACGTATACCTCATTGAACCGAAGAACATGATCGTCCCAGCTGGTGATGGCCGCTGTATGTTGTCGTTGTTCGGAATGGATAGCGGTGGATTTGGCCCATCCTGGATTCTTGGCGATCCATTCATTCGACAATACTGTCAAATCTACGATGTTGGCAGAAAGCGAATCGGATTCGCTCCGTCGCGTCAGCAGTGAATCCGTAAAACTTTATTATTTCAATAATAAAGTCTCACTCTTCCTTATGTCTAACAATTTATTTCAACTCTTTTGGACAAATCATACATGAATTTTATACATCTCTCGGTGATATATACATTTCATTTATGGTTCCTGAATATCTGTTTAATCGACTTTGTACATTAAAACTGTCTAGTGTTTAGTCGGTATTAATTTCTTTCAACTCCGTCATCGGAGTAAGGTGCGGGTCTTCCTGCTGCTGCTGCTCCTGCTCGTGCGACTCATCTGCTAGTTTCTCCTTCAAAGTCACTTGGATTTTGGTGCCCATTTGATTCACGCGATTCGCCACCATTGTGAAGAACTCTTGTAGTTCACGAAGAGTGTCCTGCAATAATTAATGGTTTCACGGCAGTCCATTGGGAACAACTGTATCGTGATTTCGGCAATATTCCTATTAAAAGACAGATTCCACTATGATCAGATGGGCCGGCAATGGGAGGATTCCTAAAAGTAATACCGCGTGAGGATTATGAGTTCCCTACTCTTGCTCCGCCCATTCATTTCCGTGGAATGTTTCAGTAAAGTGCAAGGAAAATAGAGCCAATAAAGGGATAGCGCCAATAAATAGCGCCAATAATAGCGCAACATCCCGTCCCGTCCCGTCGGGAAAGGGAGCGGGCAAACTAGACTGAACTTCACCTCAAAAACCACACGTTCGAACACCCGTGACCTGTGAGCATGTCATGTCAGAAACCCTGAGGGCCGCCCGCATGGCCAACGTGGAAAATGGCTTTAAAGGTGCTCTCGACGGTCTCATCTGCTTTGTTCTTCGTTTGAGGGCAAACTAGCGCCTACGAATCGTTGTTGCAACCCCTCACATCCCTTTTTTGACTGTTCCTTTAATGACTTCGCTCGACGCTTAGCGCCTTTTCCACAAACGAAAAAAATCTATGGCAAAAAAATATTAGAAATTTATTTTGTTTGACTTACATCCAAATTGAAATTCTCGTATTTCTGCTTAAGGATCTTCCAAAGATCAAGGACGTATTTGTGGAGAGCTTTATAGTGCTTTTCAGCTTGGCAGGCAATGTCGCAATCCTGAAAGAAAAAGGATTTGCAGTTTAGCTTCAAGGAAAACCTTCAATGACATGGCTGCCATTGGACCTGTACCCGAGTCGGCCGGAATATCCTTGGTACACGACTGATTTCTGAGATGTTCTTATTGCAATCGGAAACAATCTTGATTTGATCATACTGGCTCAAAGAACTGCAGTTGAAGTTGGGATTCCGCTCAACGTCGATCACCTGAAAAACAGTATTGGCATTTTTGGTAGAAAAACAACTAGGACCTGATACAGAATTATGTTTGACTTTCTCGGTGACTCTAACCATAAGTTTATTTATAGAGATGTATATTATGAACAATTTCACAAAATCAGAATCAAAAAGTCCCCGAAGAATTAGGACTGTTAGAAGGCTCGCCCGCGATGACTGTATGGGCGGAGACAGCTAGGTCATCGCGTCCTCCTGCAGCCTTGCTCGCCGCGTATGATGGGGTGCGCCAAGGGGAGGGTGAATTAAGCGCAGCCCCTTTTTCGGCAAGCAACAATACGGTATAAAGTCCGTAAAGTGAATTTCTACCAGCTGTTGTCAACTTTACCGCTTCAACAACTGGTAGACAACGGGCTGGCGGCGCGCCAAACCCAGTCTCACTGACACGCCTCCTGATCCTTAGCGAACAAGTCTGTCTTAATGTCATTCTGAAACGATTCAGGAAAAAGCTCAGAACGAGCAATGATTGTATGGGTCCGTTCCCACAATCAGCGTGTACTGCACCCTCAAATCTCGCTATTCTTCAAAGTTTAGCCGGTCAGACATTCTACCAGTGATCCTGAGTAACGCCCCATTTTATGTAAGGATGTAGTGAATGCAGTAGTCGCACCTTCAGATCCGGGAATTTGTTCAGAAGTAATCTCTCATCGGGAAGGTTGACGATGTTATTGTAGGTCATTCCAATGACTGGGAAGCCGCGAAGACGCTGACCTGAACAAAGAATTCAGAAATAGAGTACTAGTGGGGAAAATGCTACTTGAGAGTTCGGCTTCTTTCCAAGCACTCCGACTGAAGGGGTTAGACATTGCGTCTTTTCCCTGGTGTGCCCATCAGTTTCAGCGCTATGGCAAGATGTGGGGGGAACCACAACAGTGAGGAAAGTACCGATAACAGCGGGTATTTTTCGCAATCTCAACAGTTGTTCATTTAATCGAGTGCTCCTTGATCTATTTCCATTGATTATTTCAGCGCAACAGCGATGGATCTTTCCCAACCTGTCCACTTTAGAGGGGACCAAACATTGTAGACGTCTTGAACGGTGAGATAGAGACCGATGATCGGTACCCTTAAGCTGTTTTACGCCTATCCCTTCACACTTCATCTTCAATTCAAGCGTTAAATCCAGCCGTGCCTTAGTAATCGCTTCAATGATAGTATTTACGTGGCCCGACCCAGAGTACGACATGGATAATCATGCTTCAACCGGGCCTGCTACAAATGGCGCGGGGGGGGTAGGATACTTTGCTATTAAGAAGGGGAGGGGATGCTCATGTGTTCTGCCATTCTATTCAGGAATTGTATCTTGAGTGTGGTAAGCCTTCCATATGCATTTCCTCAATCAGCACTCCGGTTATCTCGCGGTCGTAGCAAAAGGTGAGCGCCATCGGCCGGGATCGAACCGACAACCTTATGATATTAAAGTCAGACGCCCTTATCCATTAGGCCCACGGCGGGCCAGTGGTTGCCCTACAATAACGCCTGAACTTCACCACTCAAACACATTCAGTGTTTTCAGTTTTGCTTTGCAGTTCTGAACTGTGCGAGTCTGAGCACAGCTCTGTACGCACCACAACATCATCCTCACTGAGCCTGAACGGTTCGTCCTTTAGCGGGAGGTGGGAGGGGAGGGGGGGATCACTAAGCTGAGAGGATCTGAGATTGTCATATCCCTTGTAACCTCATCGGTGCACCACCTCTTTTTCTGCTAGCCCGGAGATGGAGATTCATTTGACGAAGAATTTTGGAGCTCAACGAGGTCATATCTGAAGTGGAGGGAGGGGGGGGAGCGTGCTGAGCGACCAATTTCTCTAATCGCTGTGATGTGCTCTGGACTGAGCGGAACTACCGTATAGTACTGTTCAAGCCGTCAAGTTATCTGTTTACGCCTTGAGTGTAAAAACTGAGGTGGGTAAGCTAACTCACCTTCGGGTAAGGTCAACTTAGTTCGTTCTCCATTATGACAATGAACCACTTCGTCGTCGGTATCACACTCGCAGTTATCCAAACAGTCGAATACGTACCCTATAAAAGTCACTGACTGATAGAGGCCAGAGATAAAATAACTTCCAGCAAAGATGAAATGGATATTGAATGAAAAATGGGTCAAGGAGTATGGAAATCTTCACATATCCCACTGACATGATCATGTTTTGCACAAACAAAACGGCGCTGTGGACTCTTTGCTGCCCTTTAACTGCCCTATTCTTCGAAAACATTTTGCCCCAATCATTACCTGTTGCCACATTTCACTAGAACCTTGCTTCCAGAGATAGTTCTGCTCTTTGAACATTAATGTAAGGCGCAGTTCGGCTTAGTGGGGGCACTAGTTGGAACTGAGCGAAGCCTGTACCGACCACCATGTGAAGACTTGCAAACTACTGCAGCTAAACTGGATCACATGCAAACTTTGCAGCTTCAGAACAGTTTACAAGTCTCACTTTGATGCTAGTTAACAAGAACTATGGA